GTTACTAACATATTAAACTTATGAAAAAATACAAAAACCAAAGTAGTTAAATTTTACTGTAAAAAAAAGAAAAAAAGTTACTTTATTTTTATTTAAACATTATCTGACTTTAAATCCCCTTGAATAATTTTACACAAAAATATTTTAAATTTTCCTGCTCAGGGTAAATTTGATCATTTTAAGAATTGCAATCTATATATTCATTTTCTAAATTGTCTGTTTATCAATTTTAAAATCCTTGTATTTTCAATTTAGTTTAAGCAGAAAACACAATGCATAAATGGTGTTTGTTCAATTTAAAAAAAAAAAAAATACAAACAACATTTACAGAAAAAATATTTTCTTGCTTTGTTTATCAAATCAAAATCAGTTCTTCTATAGATCCAAATGCTGTTCATATTTAAAGAGAAATAATACAAATGTTTAAGTCTTTTGTCTAAAAACAAATTCTTAAGTTTTTTTGTTTTTTTTTTGTTTATATTATTGTTAGTGTGAGCCCTATTTATTAAAAACAAAACAAAAAGTAAAGTACTACTATTGGTGAGAAGTCAAGAAATTAGTTTCTTTTAGAATACCAATTAAAAATGTTGGATTGTGCTTGAAAAACCTAACCAGTGATCATAATGTTTTTATTGTTCCAGAGACAATGTTAATTTTCAGCCCTGTCAGAATATTTGACTTTAAAAGAAAGAAACACAGTTAATTTTAGTCATCTTTTTTTCAAGAATGGCAGTCAGATCTAAAATTTCCTAACCAACATTTATTTGTAGTTGCATCATTGAGTTAATGGTTATTGGTGTGTGTAAAAACAAAAAAAACAAAAGAAAAACACTTTTTGAACCAAGTTCAAATTCTGGCCAAGGCTGTTTGCATTCACCTTCAACTTGGAAAGACATATTTTGTATAAAAAAAAACAAACAAACTAGTAGGACAGACTGGTCCCTGTAACACTATCATGAGAACTACTTTTCCCTACACATACTTGATGTGTGTGAATCCCTTAGTGTAGTATTACTTCAGGATATTTCACTCTGAGTTGGGGTACAAGTTACAATACGCTAACTGTACATTATGGTTAAGAAATACATTGCTTTATATCTGATTAATTTTTGGCTCCCCTGCTACATAGTTTCTTTATTGTCCTGTCTTCTCATTCTCTTTCACTCCATGTAACCTCTTGTGTCCTAGTGGCATTATTACCTTGCTTGGGGTAAAATGATTTTTCTTTTTTATCTTTTCTAGTACTCTGAGGAACTGTCTTAAAAGACATTCAGATTCACAGACAAAGAGGGTTTTATTTTTATTATTTTGATATTCACACTGACACTAAAATTACATTGTGATCAGTTTATTGTAATTTTTTTTTTAAATGATCACAGGTGCTATTATGTGTAACATTGAGAAAGAATGACTATACAAAGGACCATTATTTTTTCTTCTTCTTCCAGTAAAACCTTAGGACAATAATTGAATTTCATTTCAGATACTGAAGAAAAAGAAATTGACAAAAATTGCTGAAAGGAAATGATTAAAAATGAATGAATGTCACAAATCCATCAATGAATTTGAAATGCTTTTATGTACAATAAGACACATAAGAACAAGCTCTAGTTGTAACAAATAAATGTAAATTATAACTCAACACTTCCATGCAAAGACAATCCAGTAGTTTTAGATCTACTATTTACTGTAAAGAAAAGAGAGAAAAAAAATAAGTATACAAAATTATCTAAATTCTATCAATATTCTTATCACAAAATATTTTTTTAATCTAAAGATTTATTAAAGTCGAGTAATAATCCTGTGAATATCAAAATCTTAGTTATTCCTATTTTGGTATAACTTGAACTTTGTAGTGGTCCACTTAAATATAATTTGGTTGATAGAAAAAAAGTTTGATTTGTCTTGCGTGGAAATGTCGACAAACTCAATGTAAATATGAATATACTCATTGTAGTTATCTCCCCTTAAAATGTCACTTTTGGAAGATCATGAAAATAGGAAATTGTCACCCGTTGGATACTGCCAAAGCCATCTCTCTCTTCCTATAATTTTTAAGTTTACATATATTGAGTTAATTATTCATTGATTGTGTTGTAAGTTTGCAGTTCTTTACTAGTTAAAATTAACTTAGAATTCTTCCTAAGCTGATTTCACAATTTATATAATTTAGCCTTTACTGAAAATGGACAAGTTTAACAATACAATATTCTAGTAGAATTGAATTAATAGAACTGTACAGGTTATTTATCATTATTTCTCTGCTAGCCAAATATGTTTAGAATAAAAAAAAAAAAAAAAATTCTTTGGTTTCAACTTAACTGTACAAAGGTTTATCCTAAATCATGAATTTGAGAAACAAATGTTTTCTTAAGTCAGAACTTTCCAAACTGATATCTCTTGACACTTTAAAGTAATTAATTATATATATATATATATATATATATATATAATTTGGTTTAGTTAACTAAAGTAATGCATGTTGCCCATGTATGAAATTGAGGATGCTCACTACTTGATACTCTACCAAATCATCTTAAAAAATTTGCAATCATCTGCAACTTAGAAATAAGTAAATAATTTTAAAAATAGACTAATTTTAATGCATATCCAAAAGACATAATCTTGAAGCATCTGTAAAACTTCTTGTAGTTGGCCAGTATGCAATTTATAAGTTCTTAAATTTCTTCCGTATAGAATTTCATAATTATAGACCACTAAAGTCTATACTACTAAAGTCCTGACTCGCTTAGGAAGTGTAAAGAAAACAACAAATCTTGACCTGTCTGGTACAATTTCCAAGGAGTACTGTGTTTCAAACTTGTTCCACATGGTTCATGCCATCAATGCTGGACTGTATTGCCAGCAGTAAGACTGCGTTTTTGATAAACTAAAGAATTATCCTGCTTTGGTCAATCGAGATCTGGTTTTATTTCAGCAAGACGATGCAAGGCCATGCCCTGCCAGGATGACGAAGGAGAAGTTCAAATAGATGGACGGTGTTGAGATTCTTCCACATTCACTATTCACTCCTGATGCTGCTCTGAGTGACTATGGCCTATTCTGCTCAATAGCACACTTCTTCTGTGACCAGCGATTCAACACTTTTGATGAAAGCTTGTTTAGAGTTTTTTTGATTCAAAGCCAGCAGACTTGGTACCTGGGACAGATTTGAACCATGGTAGAAGATTGTTGGTAATGAGGGATTTTATTTTGAAGAATGAATGTTGGCGTTGCTCTGCAAAATTTTGTTTTCTTTCCGCTTCCTAAGTGAGTCAGAACTTTCTGACCAACTTAATATTTTAATTACTTTTCTCCAGTTTCTGATAAACTGTATTCATTAGAAACAATGCTAGTTTTTGCTGTGATATTTAAATTTTACAATGTTTAAGAAAAAAAACAAAAAAACAATAGAAACAGTTATTTTTTTTTTTCCCACTATTTTCTGATCCAAAGGTGCCAATAGTCAAAGAGCATTATTGGTTAAGATTTGTTTCATAAATTAGAAATAAACTTTTAGTTGCACTTTCCATTTGGAAAGAAAATAAAGCCAGCAACAATGGAAGCAAACAAAAACAAACAAATTAAGTAATTTTGGTATAAATTGGATTAACATTTTAAGAAAATTGCTTTAATGGCCAGCAAAAAAGATGTGATCGAAAATGACCAATCAAATTCAAGCTATTGTTTTATATGCAAAAAAGAATTTAATATTTTTAAAGTATTGAGTTGGCCAAAAACTTCATTCGGTTTATTTAGTAAATTTTCAAGCAATCCAATATAAATCCAGACTTTCTATTCACTTCTTTGAAGATTATTTCATAAATTAAAATAACTTTGTTTCTTTCCTATTTGATCTGTATTTATGTTGAAATCAAGGGATGTGTGAGTTGTCTGATGGTTAATAGCTTGAAAAATGTAAGTGGGAATCAGATTTTGTGTTCACTTCACACTAATACCCTTGGGAAAAGTAAGAAAAGCTTTTTTCCTCCAACCTAGCTATAGGTTAAATAGCAGGACACACTTGGTTGGCAATCAACCTAGGAGAAGAAAAAAAAAAACTGAAGACAGTGGGAAGCCACTATTATTTTTTCCAAAAACAATTATAGTACAGGAAGCTGTAGAGAGCCATGATTATCTCCCTCCTGAAGGGACATTGTGATTAGAGAGCATAATATTGGCTTAATATATATTGAATAAATTCATAAAGGAAAAGAGAGCCTGGCTATTTTTTGCTTTTTAACTGTAGAGTGAGAGAGTGTGTGATTGATTATTTTCTATGGCTTATCTACCTTTTGTAGGTTATTTATAGCCAGAAAATATTTTTAGATTGTAAGAATTTTTTGGAGACAATAATTAATTACTGATACAAGTCTTACTAATTAACCCATATCTGGAGGAGAAGAGGTAGATTCATATTTTCCCAAAGGTATTTGTGCATAAGTGAATATAATGAAATGAATTGGAACTTGGTTCTCTGATTTCCAATTTCTGTTACACCATCCAAGCTTACAGTACATGTTACTCCCAAGTGGTCACCCATCAAACTTGATGTTGCTTAACTTTGGTGATTGTACAAGAACTGGTGTTTCAACATGATATGGTCGTAAGCCGTGTGTGTGCTTAAAATATTTCCTTGTTCTCTTAGAAAAGACGAAGTAAATAATTTATTCTAATAAATTATATTTACGTGGTGGGATGGGTAAAAGAATTAAGTCAAATAATTTCTTATATAAGAAACAAATTATTAGATAAATGTACAGTGAGATGAGTGGGGCTTTTTTATTGTCAGAAGAATGTTTATGCAACTCAATAATTGTATATAATCACTACATAAGAAAGGAACCAAAAGATATGAATTTGAAAGACGTCAGGCATAAATGACTAACGTCCAATGTTAATTATTATGTTATACATTTGTGCTATAATTCAAGTTCAAATTTGAACCATTAAACTCAATTTAGTCAGACCGGATAAACAACTTTTAGCCATGTTTCAAATTAAACTAAATATTGGAAATATAATATCTTCCATTTTGCTGGCTTAGACAGCGAAAAGATGCAACAAAGAAGTTGGTGATTAAATAAAGAGAAAATTGACGCCATTTTGTTCTCTTCATTGAAATTAAATAACAAAGATAAGGATGTTAGACAAAGGATGGTGATGCAAAAGAAAGATAAAATTGCTGTTTGCTCATGATGACTCAAAGGGACAGTTTGCCATTGCAATTGAAGTAAATGCCAATTATCTGAAAGATAAATAGAAAAGATATAAAAAATGCTAATCACAAGGCGCATATTTGAAGAGGAAACACAAAATGAAAATAAACAAGAACACTAACCGGTGTGGCCCATATATTTTATCAAAATATTCAAATTCATCATCATCATCATCATTATTATAGATAAGAATAATAATATTTAAACCTGATGTTAATTTATTATAACAATATTCATTACAATTTAATTTTTTGTTACAAGTCAAATAAATCTATAAAGAAAAGAATCATTGATTCTGTTCTAAATCTTTTGTGCGTGTCTGGTTTAAACACCAAAACTATATTTAACCCTTAAAATCCTATATATTACAATTTAGCACATCTAGGAAGGTTTTGATAAATAATATTTTTTGTACTTTTTATATAAGCAAATATATTTATAAATTAAAAATTTTTCATTTTAATTTAATCTTCCATTTATTTTTAAAGAATTTTTTACACTTGATATTGTTCTAATCAATAAAAAGAAGAAATTTATTTTTGCAAGGAAAGACAGCCTGTCAAAAAACAAAACAAAAAACGTTTGTAATTTTCAAACAAATAAGCACTTTATTAATTAAAATGATTGCCTGTGTATTCTTTTAATTCTTTCATGTTCAACTTTTTTGGCCTTTATTTAATACTTTTTGTTAAAATGTTTAGCATTTTTTTTATATTTATGTTATCTTATAAAATAATTTATTGATAATAATAATTTTAAAAAATTGTCATATATTAAGCAAAAAGTATGGCATTTTCTACAGTTCATTCGTCATACATTCATTAACTTTGCCGCTATTTAAGAAAAAATTGAATGACATCAACTTTAGATTAGAAACCTCAAAAATATCGGCATATTTCTTTGCTACATTTTTTAATGCTATTACATGTTTTAATTTGCTAATATTTTTGCTTATATAAAAAGTACAGAAATAAATTGTTTATGAAAAGCATCCTTGGAACCCGCTGAATCAGAATATAGATTTTTTAAGGGCCTAAATATTGTAGTTTTGGAGACATTCATACACACAGATGTATGCTAGGTTTATTAATAATAACTTACATATGTTTTAATTTATAAATATTTTTGCTTATATATAAAGTAAAGAAATAAACTGTTTATATCAAAACTTTCCTTAGAAACTGCAGAATCCGAAGAGTGATGGCTTTAAGGGCCTGAATATTGTAGCTTTGGTGTTTATGTCAGACAAATATACTCACAGATAAATGCTTCTTTATTATAGAATAGATTAAAACAAAAGTGAAGAATGATAAAAATTATACAAACATTTTTCTTTGATTTCCTTGCAATTTTAATAAGAATTGTATAAAATAGAAATTTTTTCACTTGGATTTATTTTGCTTTTTATCAGAATTTCCAGATTTTATTCTGGAAATAAAAATATTTGAAAATGTATCCATACCCTTGAGAAGCTTGCCTGTTCATGACAGCTGCTTTACCAATTAGGTTGTTGTGGCCAATCAGTTAGAATCATTAAAAATAAGTTATACAGTTAATCAGAAATAAGAATTTAAATTTAGCAAGCCATATGGCATTTGGGGAAGTATATGACTAAATGACTCCTGTTGATTAGTCATAATAGCCTAATTGGTAAAGCAGCTGCCATAGAATTGTGATAAAAAGCAACAGAAATAAGATGAAAGAAACAATAGTTAAAAATTTATAAAACACTGTCTAAGAATATTATTTTTAATTTTTTCTTTTTAATGTGTCAAGCTAACTCTAATATTCATAAATCAATCACACCAAACATCATGGTCCTACATCAAGATCATTAGGGAGGTATTGTGTGTCAGAACCCAGCTAGTCAATAGAGGTGGTTGCTAGGCAGTCAAACCATCTTGCTCCATGGTTCGGTGTCCAGAACAGTAGATCACTCACAAGTTCTTATTTTGCTCATCAGCAGTGTTCTGTAAAGCACGTTTTGCATTTATCTAAGATTGTAGACATATCAGAGATAGGCCCATAGAGCTGTGATTTAGTTGGAGGTTGTCTTCAAGAGGTGTTTTGTATAGCTCTCAGTATCTGAATGTAGGTCCCATCAAAGCTTAGACTCTAGAGTTTTAGTTAATGTCCAGGTAGTGGGACCATACATTAACACTGTCTCTACAGTGACTTGAAAGAATCTCTGCTTGTGGCTGTCTGGTACTACCAGAATAAAATGTAATTCTGTTAGTTTTGTCAATCAAAACTGAACAATTTTTCTCCAAGTTCTTTGTCTAATACAAATTGTAAAAAAAATCATGATTTTCTGCACAAAATGATAAAGCTACCCAACTTTACCTTGTCATACAGAGAAGTAAATTGGAAAACGAAAAGTTATTCCTATATCTACAGACTGAATTTTATCTAACTAATCATCCCTAACAAAAAATGCATCTAAGGATCTATTGTGGTACTCATGTAGCTTTTGTAGCATCTGCATTGTTCCAAAAATCATTCAATTTTGTTGGTTAATTTTGTCTAAAATTCATTTCTGAATTTAGATAACCAACACAGAGCACACAGCAAGAGAATTGTTTGTTTAAATCTGTTATCAGTGAGGCAGAAACTGATTTTTTTAAAACATGTTTAGAAATGCACACGTACAGGACAAACAAAAAAGTAAACTTTAAATTCTACACTGCTGTGCAAACGTTACAACCTTTATTTTATTGAGAAGTTAAGATTGTTTAGCAGTATGCTTTTATCAGTAGGGTCTGAATTTTGAAGATTGGAGAGTAAGTTGTGTTTTTGTTGGTGCCATGTAACAGAAGATACACTACTTGAAGCTGAAAAAAGGTCATGCAAAACGAATGGATGATAAAGTTATGATAATATGCAAATTTCTTGTAGGAACTGTCCCATCTTATTAACGTCAGTTGCCTTGACAAGTCATTGTAGTTGAACACTAGCTTTTTTTTTTTTAAAATCATGGCTAACATTTCTACTGAAACAAAGATGAAAGTTGTGGCTTTGAAAAGGAAAGATGACATAATGAGAGATAGCTAGGCAGCTGAGAATTTCCAGAAACAGTGTCCAAACCACCCAAAAGATGTTCGCTACTACTGGAAGTGTTTTAAGTGCAAAGAAAACCAGAAGACCACAAATATTAAACGAGAGATGAAAGAAAAATACAGTAACAAGAGCAGTTGTTAGAACTCCAGAAACAACAACAAAATTTAGTTTAAATAATACAGAAGAAAATGGAGAATTTCCCTAAGTTCTTTCACTCCCGATGTAGTGGCAAATGGCATATTTGAATTCACGTACAATTCAGATGATGGAATTACCTTTTCTGTTTATTTTAGAAGATATGAACAAATTTTCAGAGAAAAAGCCAGTGACTGGAAAGATAAGAAAAACAAAGACTTTTTTTTGAGAAATCTATCACCAGTAGAACATGAAAAATACTGTAATTTTGTGCTACCAAAAAAAAAAAAAAAAAAAAAAAGAGAAATTTGCTTTGAAGAAACTAAATATTCTGATTAAAATTTTTTAGCAAGAGAAGTTTGTTATTCAATACTCGTTCGAGTGTATGAATCTGACAAAAAAAGAAGACAAAGATTTTGTCACATATGCTGGAATTGTTAACAAGGAGTGTAAAAGATTCAAATTAAATGAACTGATTCCAGTTATGTTTAAAGGGTTAACTTTCATTCAAGGGTTAATGGCGAAAAAAGATGCAGAAATGTGTGTTAGAATATATTGAAACTTGAACAGATTCAACAACACTACAAGAAATATTGGGCAAATGTCACAGAATCCTAAATCTGAAGCATGATATGGAAGAAATTGAAGAAAAATATGTGCATACATACAAACTAAAGAAAAATGTGAAAAAGAAAAATTAATCCATGTTTCAGATGTGGAAGTTTATATATTGGAGTTGACTGTCCCTTTAAGAATTTGAAGTGTTACAAGTGTGGAAAAGTAGGACATAAAAAGTCACGCTGTAAAACTAAAGCAAAGAAAAGTTATCACAGAAAAAATTGTGTACACAGTGTTGCAATGGAAAAAAATAATTACAGAAAACCAAAGAAAATTTGTGTATGTGAAAATTAATAATGTGGATGTAAAAATGTAACCAGATACTGGTAGTGATATCAATGAAGCCAAATGGAAAACAAACAGAAAACCTATATTAAAAAGAACTTTGAAAATTGCATGTGGCATGTTGGGTAAAAAATGATTTTTTATTGGTTAAATGATTTGTAACATCTCATTTCATAACAAGTGTGTAAATGTTAAGATTTATGTGTACTGACTGGATGGAATTATTTGAGTTGTGGGATTTACCTATAAATATTTATTGCAAAAATGTAAGTGTAGAAGTGACCAGTTTAAAAAATACAGTGTGAAAATTTAAAGGAAGAATTGAAAAAATGTTTTCCAGATGTTCTTTCGGATGAATTGGGTTGGTGCTCCAAAGTCAGATTGAAATTTCAAGTAAAAAAAGGGGTAGACGCCAGTGTTTAAATTGAAATGTAGTGTACCGTTAACAACATTTAATCAGGTCAACAAAGAATTAGACAGACTTGAAAAAATAAGTGTAATTGAAAAGATTGACCATTCAAAATGGGCAGCATGTAAAAAAAAAAAAGATAATAAAATTTGTGTTTGTACTGATTCTTTGAGTGTGTTAAACACATGTTTAGAATCCCATAACTACCATGTAAATATAAATGTTTCACATTTGCTACGACCATCAGAAAAAAATTACAGCTAAATCAGAAAAGAGGCATTGGCAATAATATTTGCAGTGAAAAAAATTTCACAAATTCATACATGGAAGGAATTTACATTTACAGACAGACCAGAGACCTATATTATCAATTTATGGTTAAAAAAATGCTAGGGTACGATCTTATTAAATTATGATTTCAGGATGGAATACCAACTGTCCAAGAAACAAGGGAATGTTGATGATTTATCAAGATTGATACCAAAAAAATACTGAACCATTTGAGGATACTGTTATTGCAGCATTAAAATGTGAAATAAAAATTAAAAATATATTATGCAATGCATTATGCGAACTAACAGTTACCCTGGAAGAAATGACTGTAAAAGCAGAACAAACTATGTTTATTTCAAAAATAATAAAATTACTAAAAGAAAATAAGAAAGATAGATGATTTTTAGAACACAATCCAGACATGAGCGTTTACTCACTATGTGACGGAGTACTGATGATTGCACAAAGACTAGTAAAACCTAGTATTTTACAAAAGCAGATATTAAATGAATTTCATAGTGGACATCCGGGAATTTCAAAGATGAAATCTCTTATGAGAAGCTATGTATACTCAACCAAAATAGATCAAAACATTGAAAAATTACTAAAAGCTTGCAGAAGATGTGAACTGGGAGCAAAATCACCTCCCATGAAATTAAAATCTTAGCCAAAGACATATTCTGTGATTAAAACTGCACATAGATTTCACAGGTCCAATAAACGGATCACATCTTGTAGTAGTGAATAGCTTTACTAAGTGGTCTGAAATTTCTAAGTGCAAAAAATCAACTTTCACGGTTACAGTGAATTTTTTACACATAATGTTTGCAAGATATGGCATTTGGTATATCATAGTCTTGGATAACAATACACAGTTTACTGCTTTCAAATTTTAAGAATTTTGTAAAATGTTCTCGGCTGAACATATAACTACCCTGCCATAACACCCAAGGTCAGACAGATGGAATAGTTTGTGGGTACTTTTAAGAGAGCTTTGAAGAAAAGCAAGTAATGAAAACGTGAGCGAAGCACTTAAAAAGATTCTTGCGAGATAATGCCAAATCCCAATACATCGACGGGCATGTCACTGGCAGGATAGATGTTAACAAGATAAATTCAATTGGTGTTCAACAAGTTGTTACCAGGTCAAAAAAAAAAAAAAAAGACCAACAACAGATAATAAAAAGGACACAGAATTTTTCAAAATTGATGAAAAATTGTTTTTCAGTGTATATAAAAATGGAAAATAAATGTGGGAAGACAGCATAATAAGATCACAAATTGGAAAAAAATGATATATATGGTAAAAGGAAAAAAATGGGAACACAAAAGGCAATGGAATCAGTTAAAGAAAAGGTTTACTGAAGAAAGGCCCACAAAGAAAGGAAGAATCTATGCAAGTACAGTATGATATTTTTGATGTACCAACAACCCAAAAATTCATTGAACATACAAGTATGATTACGAGAAAAAAGAAACATATGGAAAAACTAGAGGCTGACCCAAAACGAGAGAAATACAAAGTTCAGTACATTGGTGAAAATAAAATATTTACTAGTGAAAAAATAACAAAAATCTCAAAAGTGGGGATGTTTTGAAGTAAATAAGACACCTCCAGTAACACAAATGAATTAGACAAGATGCCTTATATAAAAAAAAACTCAAAGTGAGTCAGGGGAAGTAAGTTGGAGAGAATTTTAATGACGTCACGGTGAGTAGCCCAAGCAAAATAATATTCTAACCACAAGATATTATAATATATGAAAGGCAAAACCACAGTAATATGGCAGAAAAGTTCACAAACTATGAATTTTGGTTGACACACAAAAACAAGTTCTGACAAGAGAAGGTAGTATTCTGATTTCAAGACAAGACGGACCGGGACTGAATCATATGAAACTGAGAACTGGTTATTGGTTAGGAAGAAATCCCAGCATGCATTTGTGTGCCTATAAACTGGTGAGGGAAAAATGTTTTGCAATCATTCTCATTCCAGATTGGAACCAACATATACTGAGGAAAGCAGACTGCTAATCTCTCTCAATTTGGGGGTAAAATTAACAAAAATAATTTACCAAGGGTTTACACATCAGATAGGATGATTTTCAAAACCTTGAAGGTAAAAAAACAAAACAAATTAAATGCTATCTTTGTGTAAGAGGGGAGACAAAGGCATAGATTCAACATGGAACAGCTGTAAAAATAGCAAACAGAAATTTTTTTAAAAATTACTTACGTGAAAATATTAAAATATTAATTTTTGCCTTTGCCTAAAGGAATAAAATTCTGATAGAAACTTTTGGTCACATCAAACATCATTTCTAAGGTACATTCTGGAAGCTCTCCATAAAAACGACCTGAAAAGATTTCATGAAATAAATTCTTTTTACATATATCATTGTGATGAATTGAAGAGGTGGATTAAATCCAACAAAATCTGCATATAAAATTCTGTGACTTCTGTTAGTCCATTTGTCACACTATTTAAAATAGTCATACATTGACCAATCAAAACCAAATTTTGGGGAGATGTCCAAACAAGTAAGGGGGTACAAAGTACAGTTGATTTTACTAGGATGCATAGCTTTGTACAATAAATTTTCATTAACTGTTTTGGAAAAGTTAAGTTTTATTACTTAACATACTCCCACTATTTTAAAAACAATTTAATGATTAAAATAACAAATACTTATTTAATAAAATACAATATTGTTTTTTTTTGCATATCTTTTCTTTAAGTTTTATATATGAGAATCCAATTTCCAGTTCACCTTGTGTTTGTGAGAACTATAAGGTCAAATGCTTCAAAAAGTTGGAATTTGGCCCCAGAAAGAAATATTTACAGATGGCATGTTGCATGCTTAAGAGTAAGAAATCCTAAGAATTTATTCTTTGCTGGCAAAAAGGGAAAAAAAGAAATTTTCTTTAAAAAAATATGGTTTACCATGAAGTCATAAAATTAAATAAAATAAAAGAAATTATTAAACTGCGAAGTAAGACTTTATCAAAGTATCATCAATTGGTTTGTGAAATTGAACAAAAAGTAGAGTTTGCAAATTGCAACAAAATATGTTAACGATAATGTCAACAATCACAAATAATGTGAGGATTTCAACATGTGTCAGAATGCTGCAAAAAAAAAAAAAAAATTCTAGATATTAAATAAGGAACAAATAGGAAAACTTTTATAAATTTAACATGTTTTGCTATTTATTTAGCTTCATTAGAAATTTTTTGATAATGTGGATTTTTTTTCAATTTTTAAATTCTGTGATTTTGTTTTCACTGGTTAGGTAGATGCCTGGAAAAAAAAAAGTGATTAGATTTGCTCAGCAGAAAACATCAACAATGCATTGGAAGCAGGAATATAGGACATTTGGCTGCTTGCATGCAGTGTTATAAGAAATAAATAGGTGAGACATCTAGAAGATGAACAAAAAAAAAAAAAAAACCTTTGTTTTTTTAAAAATCATTTCACCCCAAGCAAGTTAATAAAGCCAATAAGATGCAAGGGAGTGACTAGAGTGTGAGAGAATATGATAAAAAAAGAAACAAAAAAAAACACTATTAAGGAGAGAACAATAAAATAATAGTAATTAAGAATACAGATGATAACAATTTGACACTGTATTTAAATTTATGAAGGTCAAAATTGACGGGAAAGTGAGAACTGTGATAGAAGAAACTGTTAGCATAGAACTTACAGTTACTTCTAACAATTCCAACTGTAAATTGACAAAAGGTTGCTGTCAATCTAATACTGCACTTAAATTCAAAGTCTGGGTATGATAGAGGAATGTTCATCAGAACAATTACTGTGAAATGATAAAAAAAAAGGCAGAGGGAAGCTAAGTTACAGCAGTGGGAAAGGGACTGAAGCTGAGATGCTAGGTCAGGACTGATAACATTGCAGATTCTTCTTTGTATTTTATCAAGAATCTCTAAATACATAGCAGAAGCACCAGATGAGATGTGGGAGCAATGTTGAATGCAAAGATGAATGGTAGACTTATAAATATGTAAGATAGATTCTGGTGAGAGAAACCGTCTAGCACAATACATTGAGCCAACTTTTCTACAAGCTGACCTAGCAATCGATTCAATATAATCATTCCATTTCATGTTAGCGGAAAATGTTAACTTCAGTTGGGTTAATTCATTGTACATCTTAGAAATAATATAGAAATACAACAGGCCATAAATTTGATTTCAAAAATGCTTTGTTAAAAAAAATAAAAAATAAATGCTCATCAGATGCACTTTTTACATCACCAATATTCATAAAACTTATACTTAAAGAAAGGTAAGATCCAAACAGTTACCAATGATGCAACACACTTACTTATTACACACTTACTTCCAATGTTCATCATATCTACTATTCAAATAAAATATACTCAGTCATATGTGATACACACTTGGGAGATCATGATTTAGTCATAAATCATGATCTCCCAAGTGTGTATCACATTCAAGCAGAAGATTTGACCATTAGTGCCCCCTCTTATGGCCATTGAAAATTTAACTTATATTTACTGATGCATTATAATGCATTCACTCCGTCATATCTACTATTCAAGTAAAATATGCTAATATACTTAATTATTTAAAACACATTTAAATTACACCAATATTAAGTGCATAGTGATGAATAATATTATTGTTTATAACACAGACTGCCTGCCATGTCATGAGAAATATATATATATATATATATATATATATGTGTGTGTGTGTTATATTTCAAAATCAAAAGGCTGGCATTTATGAATAGAGAAGAGACCATAATTTTGATTTCAAAATGCTATTTTTGTTAAAAAAAACAATAAAACAAACACAACCCATGATGGAGAAAATACCTCAAAGGAATATTTAATAAGTCAACAAAGCAATAAGCCTCAGATATACTGTTTCATTTCACCAATACTTGTAAAACCTGGTACTTAGAAAATGTTTAAGCTTAAAGATCCAAATATTTGCAGATGATCTAACATATTATTATGCATTCACTTACAACATTTGTTATATTTATCAAAGCAATAAAAAAAAACAAACACTAATATATCCAATTTTTAATACACTCTTAGATTATGTTCTCATTTCAAGAATCAAACACACATACAGATACTAAGAGATAAATATAGGATATCCACAATAATGTCATAATGTGATATCTACACAACCAATGAAAAAATAAAATAAAACTTAAAAATTGAGCCAATAGCAGTTTATCTGAAAATAATTCAGTCTTTCTTAATGATTTTCAAGAGGAGTTTCAAGCTTGTTCACAAACCTGGAGATCCAGCAAACAAAGTGAAAGGAGGAACGACAGTCTCTGGCGGTAACACTGTATTGTCTGCAATTGCACAGCAATCTTTCAAGATACTACGCCGACCCTGAAATAAAATCAAAGGTGTATTTAAAAGATGACCATCATTGATTAGCCACATTCACTCAAGACATGGCTACCAAAAATAAGAAAAAAAAAAACAAGAAAATAAAGGAAGTAACCATTGTGTGGGGTAATTAAACTGACAGGAGAGAGTTAAGAGAACCCTATTTATTTGAACAGACTAGGAGAGAGAGAGAGAGAGAGAAGTAGTGTTTGCATAGACAATCAATCTGAGGTCTAAGCTTAAAATCCACACATCTGAAAAGTGATGTTATTGTTCAAACAAACACACGCACATCTGGAAAAGTTGACCAATTTTTTTTCTCCCTGTGTGAGATGCTTTTCACACAAGTATTGTTTGGTGTTTTAGAAATAAAAAAAATCTTCCCTACTGGACACAAAGAATGAGAAATTTTATTTTACTACCTACTGTGTTTACTTTGTTGATCCAATGGTAGCATAAAACAGAATTACAAGTGCTGTTTTTACTTTTTTTCCCATATGACCCCTTTTTTCTAAGTGCTACCTGTAGCCACAGAAGTTGTCTTCTCTACAATCAATGCTGTTCAATAGTAATGGAAAAGAAAAACATTCAAATTAATGCACCATATCAGTTTGACTAATGTGATAACGTAACACTTTCTGAATTTCATTTGTTCATAGTGCAGTCATTAAGGCCATATTAGACATGCCCACAAAGATAAGTGATGCAAGATCAAACCTTATCCGAAACTTTATTTTCTAAGCCAGGTTGCTTAACTATATAAAAAAAATCTGGAGCATTGTGATGGAAGAAAAACTAGTCAAAAATCTATAATGCCAATGTTTCATGTAGAAATCCACACAAATCATTTTTAAGATTATCTCAAAGACAATACATTTGTGTCACAGATCCAAAACTATTTTATCCTTTCTATAAACTGTTTGTTTAGAAATTGCTAGTCAATTTTGTTTAGTTGCATATCAACACCTCTGAGTTATTCAATGCTGAAATTTAAATAATTTGAACACAATTTTATGGTTTCAACTAAATATATTTTGAACACAATTGTATGCCTTCAACTACAGATAAAATGTATTGTTGGTCATTTTACTGTAGGGAGGAAGTTGAAAGAGGCAGTGTATATTGATTTGTTGGCCAGGTGTATAATTCAGAAAAATATACATTTTTTAGCATTATTTGAATATCTTTGCTTGCTAGAGACTGTCTATAGACTGGAATTGCCTACATATATAAGTAATATGAATGGTTTCAGCTGTGTATCTAGCCTTCCCGAATTGGCCTGATCTGGATATCAGCAATCTTTTTCTGTTACCAATTTGTAAGGAAATTCTTTCTTTTTCTTTCTTTTTAGTACAGATTGTACATCTGACAAAGGCTGAACAATTGCTTGCCGAAAATGTTGGGGTAAAAAAAAAATCAAAAACACAAAGGTGAAGTCGAGTTGCCCAAATAAAATTTAGATTGAACAGAAAATCTTTGCAATATATGAATAAAATGTCTTCCTTTTGATAACGTGAAATTTTTTTAAAAGATGTTTGACATGACAATAAAATCAGAATTGAAAATAATTCAAAGTTTCAAGAAATCAATTCTTAAATTTTGGATGAGAAAAAAGAAAGTTTATACAATATTTTTTATTTGAAGTCTAAAGCTAGGTGGTAATAATCTAGAATATTCCAGCTGCCAATAAAATGTTTGGAAAAATAAATTCAATCAGTTCATACTGGTGTAGAGGGACTGATTTTCTGTTTCAGGTTTTAGAGAATTCTGTTTTTTTTTTTTTGTTTTTTGTTTTTTTTTCAGTATAGAATTCTGTTTTTGCTTAATTCTAATACTTAGTGAGAAAGTGTACCAATATATAAATATTATTAAAACAAGAAAATAAAAGGAAAATTAAAAATTTTACAAGCTAGAATATCCACCCATTGGATAAGTTGCTCCAGCTTAATAGGCTTCAGCCCTTAATCTTGATGAGTTTCTTGGACAACCTTTGCAATCCTAAATAAGAATTAAGTGAAAGTGGCAGAACCTACAAAAGAATTAGCACCACAAAATCATCTAGAAACAAAAAGCTACATTATCATTTGGTCATTTTATTGAAATTATTAAAAAATATTTTTAGAAAAAGTCTAATGTGTGATAAGAAAAAAAAAGAGGATAAAAAAAAAATCAAAATTTTGGACCCTCCACCCAAGACCTTTCTTTTTTTTTTATTAAATCAAGTCAACTTCATAAAACTTGATTTCTAAATTCTGTAAACTGTAGGAAGACAATAGGTAAGGGAGATGTATTAAAATATTACCGACTTTATCCTTTGATGTCTGTCAGACAAGACAGGCAAAAATAGTAACAAATTAAAATGACAGTTGGTAAATCTGAGTGTTAAAAAAAAAAAAAAAAAAATTTCTATTTCAAAATCATGATTTCCGTTTCAAGTAGCCCATTCTATTTTTCTGGAAATTAAGCCCCTCTATTGGTGTAGCAGTCACTGAAGGGACCAGTATATGTGTGTCCAGGCTGACAGTATATGTGTGTACAGGCTGACAGACTCGTGCTAGCTGGTAGAAGTGTGGTAGCAGTAATAATAGGATTAAAATTATGAGAATAATTTTTAATGTTCCATAAAAATAGACATTTATACATATATGTGTTTAGCTGTAATTTCTGCAAGTCTGCTACCATGTGACCCCTTAGGGGTAAAGAAACTACCACATGTTCTTTAGCTAATACCAGTCAAAGAGGCAGAAACACGGCAATTATAGGCTTCATACTATTGAGTCTGAAATTCTCTCTTTATTATTATTGGGAATTTGTTCCAAATTTTTATTGTTTCAGTTTGAAAAATGTTTTTCTTGTTTGTGTATTTCTTTGAAATATATTTTTTTTATTCAGTTTCTTCTTTTGAGAGATAGATGTGTTATTTGTTTCTAGTTTTCAATGTGTATTTCCTAAATAAAAAGATAACATCAGTATGAAGTGTGGTCATTTTTCATTGAGACCAGAGGTCAATTACAACTGAGAAGGTCAAAGTTGATGATTCTGGTTGTAAATATATTGTTAATCTGCATGACGATAGACAAAGTAAGAGGTAATTGTACTACTTACAATGACGCAATTCTTTCCTACATGTACAAATGATCCAACTTGTGCTGCATTAATGACGGAATCTTCACCAATAAACACATGGTCACCTATGTGAAGTGGGAAGAAGGCAACACTGAAATAAAAAGGAAAAAGAAATCTTTGAAATTGCTCTTCCTAACAAGATCATTTCATGTTTGCTATTGCTTCAAGAGAGTATCTTTTTTTTTTCTTCCTCTGTAATGAAATTCAACCAGTTTTATTTCAATTTTAGTTGATTACTCACAGGTAGATTATATCTTAAAATAGCAGTCAGCATTGTAGTAGTTTTTATACCACTAGTACAAAACAGGTCTTTCTGTATTTTCATTATTTTTTTTCTAACTGAACTTTTGGAATATGGGGTTATCATGATTTGCATTATTTACTGTCAAACTAATATCCTCATCTTTGTTGTTGCTATCACATTTCAGCCATTATGCCCTCCAGCCTTCGTCAGTTATCTGTTGATTGTTAACGCCGACGTGATAACAAGGGAGTTAACTCGCTCCCTAAAAAGGAGCGAAGTTATGCCCCTTGTTCAGTGTTCTCTAGGACAACAGAGAAGAAAAGGAGTTTGCAAGATGGTAATCACACATCCTCACATGTCACGTATGGAACTATCAATCTACCAATAATCACTGGTCATGTTTTTCATCTATTGTTATACAATAGTAAATAATATGTATAAAGGTTCAAATTGTGTGTTCATTCTTATTTGACACAAATGAACATACACCAAGCAACACAACAGTAACCTTCAGGGAATTTCAAACTAAACCTTTTATTCAGTATACCTGAATGGATTATTCTTGTTTTGCGGTCAATATCTGGGGATACCTCATTTGGCTAATTTTCCTTTTTAATATTTTTCAATTAGTTATTTTTTAACCCAAGTTGCATTACATCTACATTACTAGATCCAGGGATTAAACCCACAATTACTATGCCGCTATATTGGTTTAAAATTCGGGTTAGTGAAATTATTATTTAAACTTTGTAAATGTGGAAGGGAGTTTTCAATGCTGAATAACCTTTAAATGTTTAAAAAGTAAATATAAATATATATATATATATATATATATTGTTTTTTAATTTTTGATTCCTCAACTGAATCTGTTTTTACAAAGCCAAGTTAAAAATGGATTTTTTTTTTTCATTTACTCCCTCCATATCAATTACTTACACTCCTTAAATTAAAACTCTTGCCATTTTCATGTAGCACTAGCAATTGCAGATCCAGTAGTAACAATATGGCCACTTACGATGCCTGGCAGATACAAGGATGAGAGAGAAACACTTTTTTTTCTGTGGTATATTTTGATCACACAAATTTTTTAAATTTGAAAGTGAGTTTTCAATATTGAATAACCAGTAAAGGTATAACACATGGAACTAGAACAATCTGCCCCCGATGGACTAAATGAAGAGTTTGATTCAAAATTTCAATGTATATCATCTCAAATAGGTTGGAGTATACAATGGCGGAAAGATTGCGAATATGACAATAAAGATGAGGGACACAGCCTGAACAATGTAAATAGTTACAACAGCTCATCTCAGAAATCTAGACAGATTATGTTAATGTAGTTTAAAAATGTCATGTATTAAAAATAAACAATTCTAATCAATAAATCTATATGTAAAATTTCATAAAAAAATAAAGCAGTATTTTATGTTACATCCTAACAGGTGTGTAGGTAGTGTAAGGGTGTAGAAAGTTGAATTGGGGATCTGAGTTCAAATCCAGGGTTAATGTAATGCTTTCATTTTTGCATTAGTCTTTGGAAAAGGCATGAATCTGTTTCTTCCCTCACCAGCAAATGGTTAAGTAGCGGGGTAGACTGGATTCTCTAGCCTTGGGTGGCAACCAATCTAAGAGAAGGAAAACCATGAAAAACAACTCTATTATCTTTCCCAAGAAAACCTGGTAATTCTCTGATAATAAAGAAAAGGAATCTGTAGAGAGTCATCATCACCTACATTCGCGCATTAAAAAAAAAATTAACAGACATAGAAAATGCAATTTATAGAATATACTTACCCTTTGCTAAATTTTTTAAAAGGGGGTCGTATGACAGCTTTCGAACTTATGACACAATGACGTCCTATTCGAACATTAGCCAAATCTCCACGGATGATACAATCAGACATAATGACAGTCTGTAAAATAAGAGAGATTAGTGGAGATCAGATTATCTTTAGAGAAAGATTTTAGTCATTAATCTAAATATTCAAAAACTCTGAAATTAGAACTGAATTTTTATAAATACAAATTATATTTATAACATTTATTAAATAATCTTTGTTGATTAGGAGAAAAAGAATCCCAACAGCAGGTGTGTTCTTTTCATCCTAAATAATAAAAACTGAATTTGATTAAGACTTGAATTCATCATACCCTAATTATTTATTAAATAATGAAATTACATCTGATTAGGAATAATAAAATAAAAAGAGTAATGTATTCCATTTTTTTCGTTTTTCTTTTTTTCATTAAAATATGACAATTTTTTCCAATATTTAAATTGCCTTTACTACTTTATCAGGCGGTTTCATCACTTTTTTTTTTAATGAATATCCCATTGGCTTAAATTACTACTGCTTAACTGGATTGAGATTTGTCAGCCAAAAATTGCATAATTTGTGTACTTTAGAAAAAACTTTGTCTGATATTTTATATTTCGAAGTGCACATCTTAAAAGTCTGATTTTGGATATAATGTCTACGTAGACGAAACCGTGCACTGTAGCCAAGGGTATTGAATTACGTTATTCTTATTATGATTGAAGCTAAAAAACAACCCCAAAAACTCCTGACGATTTTCAACTGAATGATAATATTGTGGAGTTAGCATTTGAGCTGAATTTGTAAGAAAAAAAAAAAAAGGAAAGAAAACAAATTAATGGCGATAACTATTAAATGCTAATTATCTCCCTTTATTTATTCACTTTCTTGCATCTGAGTAAAACAATGAGTGCAAAAAAAAAAAAAAAAATTAAAAAAGAAAATGAATAAATAAATAAAAAAATAAATATATGAAAAGAAGTGTAGTTATCCTTTGGCACGGAGTGAATTGAATATTTTCTCCTCATTACAATTTTATCATTTTCTATCAAAAAGTGCCCGAGCGGCTCACAGAGCTGTTTAATTTTATTTACTTAATTATTTAAAAAAAAATAATTAAGTAAATAAAACTAAACAGCTCTGTGAGCCGCTTTTGAAACAAAATGAACTATATTTTTAAAAAACTATATGAGAGACTGATAGAAAAATGAGGAAATGCTGATGAAAGCAATAATAAAAGTCTGAGTTGTATTTTAACATCTCTATGATTTAGAAGACAAAGACCACTCTTCATTCCAGGAAGTTTTTTTTTAAATAAATTACAGTCTAAATTAATGTATTTTTTGGTGCATAAAACACACTTATTTTGAAAACTGTTTTGCCAAGTATCTAATGAAAATTGAAATACGGATTAGGTGATTACTGACATTAACTGCATGAAACACTCTGGTGCATGGGCATTTCACATTTGAAATCCCTTATTATTATTGTTATTAAGAACACATTCAAGTGAACTAAAACATTCCTATTTATTAGGTTGTTACATATATTTGTTCGTTTTTCTGATGTTCTGTGAATGAGCTTGAATAATTTTTCATAGTATTTTTTGCTTCTTAGTAAAGCTGCTCAAGGCATTTGTGTTGTGTACAGAGATGACTTCATTACTGATAGAATGGCACAGAAATTGTTTTCCCATTACAAGGAGGGGAAGTTTGAACATACACACTCTCCATGTTCAAGCTGACCTGTTCAGTTTGATGAGAACCAATTGCAGGAGTTGATTAAAGAACAGTGCCAGACCCCTTGGGAATTGGCTCAGAAGATGGCATGCGCTCATGTTACTGTTGCTTGTCATCTTCACTTAACAACCAAATGATCAATGCTGAACAAATGAACAGGCTCAAAGAAGTAATTCAGCTGAAAAGACCTGACAGTGATTATTCAATATGACAATATTCACCACCCCATGTCACCAACATGACCAAACATGTAATTAAAGTTCTGCCACACCCATCAAATTCTCCTGATTTAGCCCATAAAGACTATCACCATTTTAAGTCACTTTTTAACAATTTGAGGGATGTTTTGTTCAACAATAATATGGAGATTAATATGTGACTTAATATATTTTTATAGTTAAAACTTAGTGATTTCCCAATGTCGAGACATTGAAGAGTTAGTGGATCACTGGTATGTGTGTAGACAATGAAGTGGAATACATTGTTGAATGATTCGTCAGAACTATAAATAAATAATAAGTATTAAAATAAATTATAAAAATGAACAAATTTATGTACCAACCTAATATATATTAGCTTTGGTGTATAGGATGCAAGCAGCTTTTGACCTTAAATTTTAAGGTAAAAATGTGTCTTATACACTGAAAAATATGGCATGTTCAGTAAAGTTGGTTAGCTTGATTGCAGATTTCAATCTAATTTACTTGTGACACTGAGGCTGTGATGTGGTTAAACATTAATTCTAAGCAGAAAAAGGGTTAAGCCCAAAATGAAATATAAACTGGAAGATAGATAAAAAGAGAGAATGGAAGACATTTTCCCAGGTAACGTGGAAGTAAAAAAAATGGCCATCTGGGTTGCTTCACTTCTATGAATTGGAATAATGCACCAAAAGTTTACTCTTTTTTTTATGAAGAAAAATACAGAAAAAACAAACAAAAATCTTAATATGCAATTATGCTGTATTAATGTTAATATAAAGTCGACGTCGGACGTTTTGGTCTATTTAAGACCATCTTCATGGACATTTTCATTTAAACATAATTAACATTAGAACATATAAAAATTTAACACAAAAGACGATGGACATAAGAGCACAACTAATCCAAACAGGTAACTGAATTTTTTTTTTCTTTTTTTTATCTATTGAAAATCTGGCTTGTGAATAAATCAAATGGGAAATGACTTTATCTCTTTCTTGGGAAATTAGAAAACCATGTGTCATTTGTGGAAAGAGAATCAGGTGGGAATTATATTTTCGTTAGTGAAAATGAATTGAGAAATAAAAACAGAGAATGAATCCACTGTGAGAGTTAGGATTATGAAAATCAATCTGTCATAACAGGTAGGTGATCAGGTTTATGTTTTCTCTAAGATGGTGACTGGCCCAAGAGTGGAAAACAATGAGTTTTTTTGTTGAGAATTTAAGTAAATGAAAACAATTTGGGAAATAATTTTTATCTATCACTCGGAAACTTAAAATTAGAAGGTGGTGTGTTTTGTTTTTTCACTGGACAGGTTGATCCAGGAAAGGGAGTCAGAGAAATGAAATTAATGAGGAGAATAAACCACACTCTTTCTCCTTAAAAATTAGATTTATTACAAAGACAGTTATACCAGCCCCGAGAACTGGGTAGAGTTAGAATACTGAGAAGGAAGGAGGAAGGGGCATAATTTAGCTCTGCCTGTGCAGAGTATCAGTGTGAGATGTGAAGCAGATTTGAGTTAAGGGAGAAGCAACTCCCAAGGAAGGTGGATAATTCTCCAAATTTGGAAAGTTGATTAAGAAAGTAGAAATAGAGAAAAAAGAAAAACTTTATTGGAATTAATGAAAATTGGGGAATCACCGAAACATGTCAGTTTTGGGTCAAAGTGCATATAAGCAGATGATTTTAGGGAGCTCAGAGACTTTGGGCTGAGAACCCACATTGAGTGCCTCTGGAATCCATATCAGCTGCCACCAGATTTCCTGATTCCAAAACTCTGAACCCAGAACCTCCAGAAGTTTAGACAAGGTCCAATGTCACTATAGAAACCGGTGCAGGAAGGGTTAATTTTTGTTGTAACAAGAGCTATATAAACTAATTGAAGATTAACCCCATGAATCTTTTGTTTTATTTTTTCATTTTCCTTAATATAGCACCTGCCACAGAGATCAAGAACACAGTATGGACAGAGTTGGTGTGGATCAAAGCGGCCAGCAACAACCAACAACCAGCTTGGACAAGTGTCAGCATTGACCAGAACAGAGTTAACCTCATGTTTAAAACGTTGTTCTAAAACTCTGGACCACTAAAATGTGGTTACATCTCTGGGTGTAGGCAGCAAAAGGTGTTATATATCTATGTCTTTATTTACATATCTTCACAAGTGTAATAAAAATGATTTCATAAGCAGAGAACAGCTTTGGTACTACTTTTACTACAAGTACAAAGCCGCAAATAGTGGATCTCAATACAAGAAAATTTGAATTTCAACATTTTTTTTTTGAGTAGAAATAAAACAGAACAAGTAGTCAATCATCAAACACCTGACTTAGACACCTTTTCTGATATGATCATTCTCTATAAATAAATAGTTTCTACAACACAATCCAATTATTTCTACTGAATAAATTTCATAACCAACAAGAATGTGTTCATTTCTGTCTGGATTTCTTGGAAGAGGGGGGAGGAGGAGGTGACATAATTTACACTATTTACATATGGATGGTTGACCTCATCTTTGTTGTTGTTATCACAATGTTATGACCATTGTCTCCTCTGACCTTCATAAAGTGTATATCAATATGGCAACTGCAGCATTCATCAGAACTCAGGTGAGGTTTAAATTCTCTAAAGAGAATTGTTCTATGGAATTAAAGTGCTGATTTGTGAATTTGGTGACATAGTAATTATGAGTTCAATCCTTGAGCCAGGTAGTGTGTTCTTGAATTCAATGAAAACTGAGTGAGCAATAACAGAACTGTACTCAAAATAATAACTACATGAGATATCCCTAGACATGAACAGTGGAACAAGAACAGTCTATCCATATAGAACCTATAAGGATAGATTATTCTTTTTTTTCTACATTATATAACCTTTAACATACTGCATTATTCACTACTTTCCTTTCCACTGCATTCTTTTTCAAGGCTCCTCCATTGAACTACTTAATTTCAGTCATGCTCATTTTCTGTTGCCATAGCAACACAACTGAAAAATTCAAACACTGTATTTTAGTTTTGATTGTATACACTCTCCTGTACAGATTAAGTTAAATGACAACCCCAATGCACAATATAAATATATCACAAAACAGGCTGTAATTTATGCTACTATATATCTACACAGATTTGGAAATAGCAATAAGCACAAGTTAGATTATAACATAAATCCTAGGGACTGATATTTCACAATGTCTTATATATATGTGTGTGTATATATATATATATATATATATATATATATATATACACACACACATTTTAACAGACAAAGTGTCATAAAGATGTACAAGTGCATCTTGAAAATGTATATATATTAACAAAAGTCAATGAAAGTTTCATAAGGACATACAACTCATTTTTGAAAATGTATTTATACATCAACAGTAGGCAATATAAGTTTCATAAAGACATACAAGTATGTCTACAGCAGTGGATGTGGTAACTGAATGTTTGTTAAAATAAAATTTATTTATGGGGAAAAAAGAGGTAGTATAGCTGTGGCTATACTACCTCTATATATATTATTACTAGATTGGAACAAAAGTTTGTAGCATTTTTCAATAAGTCGCATTTGAACACATCATTTCATTTTACATGTGACTGAAATTTATGACATCTATATATATTCTGGAAGGTGACATTTCAATGTATCCATCTATACAATTTGTGTGTGAATTTTGAATTTCAAATGTTTTTTATATTAGAAGTGAAAAATGGTGGAAAAATGAGATGCATTTTTGTTATTTGACAAATTTACTTATGACTTATTTTTGGAAAGGAAGAAATGGTGTACAAACAGCAAAGACAAAAACATCAAAAATAAGTTATTTTGGAAAAAAATGTGGTTCTGGTGTACAATGATTTCATAAGCCATCAATCATAGCATCCCATTCCCAATAATCCTCACAGAAAAGAGATTGGAAAACAACCCACCAGAGAGTCATGTGAGCCTTTTAGATATAACATAATGACCCTCCAGTGCATTGCGTGAGAGCCAACATGTTAAAGATAGCAAACATTTATGGAATAAATGTACAAACAGCAAAAAAAGATATGTGCCATTAATAGAGATGGTGCTTCAGCTGAGAGTAGTGTTTATAAGTAGTTAACTAGATTCAGAAGTAGAAATTTGGATATGTTATTATAATCTCTATGTTCACAAGTAATGAAAAATGGATGACTGTTGTCTTTAATTTGTTCAACTGGGAACATTGAATTATGTACAAATATTTAAATATTTTACTTTGAAATCTACTTTAAAAAATTACTACAAATTTGTTCTGACTCAATATTTCTGTTACCTATCAATTTATGTTGAAAATATCTTAAATATGGCTTCAGAGTGCAACCAAACCATTATACCTTTCTTTAGTTTTCCTTCAAGAATTCTACAGAAGCTTTGTTTCAAAATTACTAATCAAGATCAAAATGCCTTTCTACCTGTTATCAAAACATTTTCATTATAATGGTTTAATTCTAAAAAAAAAAAAAAAATAAATAAATGACTTACTTTTCCATTCAGGACAATGTTTTGACTTCCACACAGAACAGACTGACGACTCACTTTGTTCCCTGAAGCCTGTTTAACAAAAAACACAGTGGATAAAAAGAACCAACAAAAAACAACAAAAAAACAGTGGATAAAAAGAAGCAACAGACAATGATACAGTCTATAAACAGTAAGACACAAGAGATAATTGAAAATAAAAGTCTCCATAAAAGGTTCATAGATTATAAAAAAAATTCTAACAATATTCATCAAACTGCAGGTTTACATCTGTTTTATTTATTGACTTTAATGTCAATAATTTCCCTAAATTGATATATGTCCACAGTTCAGACAATAAATTGATGTGCTGAAATAGAGTAATCCAGCTTTCTGGTCCCAATAATCATTCTGCTGCCAGTGTTAAATGCTCTCTGCATTCCATGGTTGCTACAGCTATACTACCTCTTTTTTCCCCATCACATCACACATATACATGGATGAGTTTGTTGCAGATTGGAATCAACCCACAACAAAGAAAAAGGTGAAAAAGTTTTTTTTATTTTTGTGTTTTTACAACTAAATCTTTCTTAGTGTGCATGAGTGTCAAAGTTCTTATTGTTCTTGTTTGTAGTTGTTTTGTTAGGATGAAAAGAAATGTGATTTCTTTGTGTGTATGTGTAAGAAAGAGGCAAGGAAGAACGTGAGGAGGTGAATGAGTAAGGGAATTTTCTTTTAAGCCGAGCGCTGTGAACTGTTGACATCTGTATGGCTTTACTCATTTTTGTCCATCTAGAGACTTTGCTTAAATACCCTTCAAAGGGATCATGAAGCATGTTTTTTATTGTTGGTGGGAACACAACCTGTTGGTTGAAAAATGTTAAATATTTATTGTCAAAGCATTAATTTATTAACTGGAAAGATGCACGGATCCTCCAAGTCAGAAAACATTTTTTGTCATGTGGTCTTTGACTGTCTTGGTGTTTATATTTCTGTTTTTGTTCCAAAAGTTCATTTCTAAAAGTGAGGGAGAGCAAAACCTTCAAACTCTGGTTGAGGGGATTACCTGAGTTTTTATATAAAAACAAATAACAATGAGATTATTTTTCATAAGAAAACTTTGCCTGTTTAAATTCAAGTAGAGGGAAAGATCAGTTGTAATCAAATATCCAGGTATTGCCAAGTTAATTGCTCCAGATGATTTTTGCATGACAAACACAGAATTACTTCCCTAAAATTTTCTTAACTGGCCTCATATTCTGAAAACACTTTTGGATTTGAAAAGTCATGAGGAAATAAAACAAAAAACAGCATCCAAAATGCAATGGGTGCACTAAAAAATCCAATAATTCAGATATTTTTCCCAAATTTTTTAAGTCAAATTTATTTTAATCTCTGAAGAACAATGTACAAATATATCATCTTTCTATATGAAAATATATTTTTGGCTAATTGCTAATATATGCATTTTTTCAAGGAAAGTAAGGTTTCTTTTTTTTAAAATTGAGTTCACTTCAAGTAAGGCAGTAAAGCCACTAGGATATGAGAAGTTACTGGGTGTGGAAGATTTAGAAAACAGAAACTTTACTAAGGAACGAGAACAAAAGAAGAGTGATCAGGAAGACAGTAGATAGTGATTGACATTGCATTTAAATTTTTGCAGATTGGCTGGAAAGCATGGAGCTGGAAGGGAGTTCCACAAGTGAGAAATGTGAGAAAAGAAATTGTTAGCATAGAATTTATGATTACATTTAGCCAGCTCAACTGTAAATTGATGAGAACTCATTGTTAATCTAGTACTGTGCACTGTGCTTAAATTCAAATTAAAGTCTAGGTACCATGGAAAAGAGCTCATCTAAGCAATTGCTATGAAAGTATGTATAGAAAAAAAACACAGAGGCAACCTTATGGCAGTGGGAAAGTGACTAAAGCTGAGATGCCAGATCAGGACCATTAATATTGCTGATTTTTCTTTGAGTTTTATCAAGGAGCTCTGGATAAATAGCAGGAGCACTGGACTATATGTGGCAGCAATATTCTAAGCATGGATGAAAGGTAGATTTATAGATATGTAAAATAGTTTCTGGAGGGAGAAATTATCTCACATGACACAGTAAACAAACTTTTCTAGCAGTTGACCTAGCAATGAATTCAATATAGTCTTTCCACTTCATACCAGCTGAGAAAGTGCAATGAGTCATTCTCCTGGAGGTTAGCATCAGCCACATGAGAGGTTTCTAAAATGATTAATTGAGAGCAGTTTAATTTTGGTGATGCTAAAATTAACTAGCCATTTTTTTTGCCCCATTTAACAACAGACTGAAAGTTGTTTTGAGGATCAGCTGCCAATTTGACCATATCGAACTAATCAGATTTTACAGGAGTAAATGGTTGTGTCATCAGCATAGATACCAATTTGAGAGCTGATGCCATCAGGAAGGTCATTAATGAAAATTAAGAGCAAAGTAGGTCCAAGTATGGAGCCCTGGAAGAGTAGAAAAAGATCTATAGTAGCCATTCAAGATAATTTTCATTTCAATAATTTGATAGGAAAGACTGGATCAGTTCAAAAATTTGTGTGGAGACACCGTAACTTTTCAGCTTGTTGAGAAGACTTGTATGCTAAACTTCATTGAAAGCTTTTGAGATGTTCAAAGCTTCACCATTTTTATCTAGAGCTTGACAGCCTTTTCTTCAATTATCATCAGTACACCAGCTGTTGACCTGAAATGAAAGTCGTATTGCTTGTCTGAATAAGGGCCCTGCTATGTGAGATGCTTAGCTTATTTATATAAGCAATTCAGAATTGATTTTGGCCGATAGTTGGAAGGGCCGGATGGTTCATCAGAGATCTTAAAAACTGGAACATCAGACGATGACTTCCAACAGGTGAGAAAGTAAGAGGCGAGGGAGCGTTTTACTTACAGGAAAAAAAAAAGGTGAAATTGCGTTTGAAATGCTGAAATGGACTATGCTTTGTTTTTGCGGATTCAGATTTTATTTTTGGTTAATTAAGAATAGATTTATTGGATTTTTTAATTCAAATAAATCAAGCAAATTGGATACACACATCCATTTCCATATCGTAAAACAAAGAGCTTCAACAAACAATGTCCTATGAAAATATTCAAATTTGATTACTACAAAAAATGCACTTAATTGCACTGATAGCTGATTTAAAAAGAATTAATTACACACAAACAAAACAATATTTATTAACTTTAAAAAAAAAAAAAGTTAATTATTAATCGTAATCATATTTAAATTTATTTAATTTTAGTTTGGTATAGGCATGATTTTAAAAGAATATCACGGATTTTAAAATCCTTGAAAACTCCTTCCAGTTGCTGTTTCGTGTTTTAAGCAAACAACTAATTGAAATAAAAAGAATAATAAACTAAACAGAAATAAAAAAACAAAACAAAACCTTCTTTGTTTATTCTGAAAATAAAATCCGACTTACATGGCCTGCATGACATAAAGCAAATTAGTCTTGATCTTTTAATTGAGTGAAATCAAATTTCTTTGTAAGAAAGAAATCATTATTATTTCAATTTCATATATTTTATACGGAAATTGACTTGTTTATATTTATTTTTTTAATTTCCATAAACAGCCTGTCGCTGATCGCAGTTATTTTCATAATTATTTGTTATCATTAGGCAAATTATCAACTTAGTCGAGTCTATTTTTATATTCAACATATTTTTAATTATCACCATGATTATTATTATTACGTTTGTTTATTTAATTATTGATAAGAACACAATTTCGTCGTAGACGTTCAAAATTTTAAACGACACATTTAAAAAATAATTACGTGAACTATTAATCTTTTCTTTTATTATTATCAAAAAATGATTATTGACAACTTTGAATTTTTTTAATTAATTAGTTTTTCTTTTTAAAAAGGCATTAATTTTTATCTTAAACATTGCATTGCATTTATATTGCACTTATCAAAATATTCAAAACAATTGTTTAGTAAAGAAGCATTTTTTTTTTTTAGTCGCTGATAATTTCATTTTACAAATAAATCAGCTTAAATATGATTATTTAACACTGTTACTTTTAAAACAAAATGAATATTTCTGTTAGTAAGAACTGAAAAAATATCTCGAACAGCTGCAATACAAATCTTTTAGTTTTAAAAAACGATGATGACTCATAAAAAAACGTAGCCATGATTTCAGCAAATTAATCCTTTAAAAGAAATTTATGTCAAATGGATTTATTATCTATACTATATAAATGATTATTCTCACAATAAACAAACTTTACTCACCGTTTCTATATATTCAGTCACATCATATCTCATCTCAGGTAATTCCATTTTGTTGGAATTCAATGTTCCTCACCCACTTTGATAATTTCCGATTTAGTTAACACAGAATTATCTCCCTTTCTAAAACGGTGAGATGGCAAATTGTATCTTCTCTATAAAAAAAAGAAAGAGTCATTTTAAGCTACGAAGTCCTTACACCGTGTTTCTAATAATAAGAATAAAAAGATGCTAAAAAATAAGTTTAAAACTCAAGATTAATAAAATTTAAAATATTTTACTAACACACACTATAATATAATATATATATATATATATATATATATATATATATATATATATATATATATATATATATATGGTATAACATCTGGAGGGACCATGGATCTGCAGCTGGAGAGTTATGCCTTCTCTAGGGTCCAGGACTGGGCAGGGTTTTTTTTTGGTGTGTGTGTATGGGGGGGGGGTAACCATTTAAGAGGTCTCTTCTCTTCACACCACTGATGTGTGTCCAAGGGAATGGCAGTGGCCACTACAGCGTCATGGGTAGTCCTTTGGCACTGGTGTCACAGCAGGAGTTGTCAGTTGAAAATGACATCAGACTGTCTCAGAGATTTTAATCCAGAGTTGTCCTTCTCCTAGTCTGGATGTCAACCATGGCTACATAGCCCAGAGTGCCCTACTATTTACCCACAGTTGAAGGTTTTGAATTCAGAATTTTACTTCTCCTTGTTCATTTGTCATCCAAGGCTATAAAACTCAGTCTGTCCTGTTATTTACCGATTACTTGCAAGAGATGGATTTATATCTTTTCCAAGGGTATTAGTAGATAAGTAAATGTAATAAATTCAACTAGAATTCAAACTCAGCTCTCCAATTCCTCAGTCTGAGGTGCACTCCATTACTCCACCATCCTTCCATGTAATATATATATATATATATATATATATATATATGTGTGTATTTAGGCAGGCAATTTTTCATTGATGCATGTTTCATTAAATAATATACACAAGTTTTGTCTATTTATTTTAAGTAAGTTCCTTTCATATTGTCTGATATACTTAATAACATTATCATTGAAAGATGAAAGGAAATCACCATATTGGTACATGTTTTAATCCTATCTAAGCTTTCGGCTTACATAAGCCATTATCAAAGATGACAATTACATTTCAATATATCAAACAATACACGGACAAAACAATAATGATAGTCTGTTTTTGTTGCATGAAAAATTTCAAAGAAACGACACGCTCGTGTATACGAGATGCGGAAGCGAAAATCGTATCACAGCTCATGACATCACACATGACCACTCGAGAGTGAAAACGAGAAGTATTAAGTGTGGGGAGCCAATGGTATAAGCCAATGGCTTCTGTTATCAATTATAGGCATTTAAGAAGATTTATGGAGATTTCATAGTTTATTTTGTTCAAGTTAGGTTTCAAATGTTTTATGTATATAGCTTCAAGAATATATATATATGTATGTATGATTAATACAAATATAAGATTTGTCACATATGATTGATGTTATCTTCAGCATTATTACTCTAGAATTTTGTAGATGGGCCTGTTGGGATCTGTCTAACCAGGTTTTTGTTGCGATCTGAATGTCGAGGTTACAAACATTTAACAACAACACTACATCTTTTAAATGAAACATATAAAATGTTATTTTGTGAAGGAAAAGTAGAAGCAGAACATCAATTGAAATAACATCTATATATTCTTTTCAGAAATATACAATTATAATAACAATGTTCAATTTTCCTTGCAATGATGTTTGTTTTATAAAGTAATTACATGTTCTTAGTGCCATGTGAAATGTATGGACAGACTTAATTGATAACGGTCAACCTAATGTGTTTTTGAGTTTGTAGACTAAGGCGGAGTAGGTGGTTGCTGGTTATTCCTTTCTATTGTGTGCATGGACAAGGCCTTAGTCAGTAGCTGCTGGTGGTCAATGCTTTTATTGTGTGTGTGTATGTGGATGTGTGTGTGCATGTACATGTAGATCAAACTGTTTTGAGCCCTGAGAAACAGTAAGTTTCTATTTTTATATCCATAAGGGGATCTGAAATTCAATTTCACATAGAGGTGTAAACTTTTTAAATACAAGATTTTTTTTGGTTAGAAAATCATTTCACACTGGCTCACTAAAATCTTTTTCTTGAATTTGTGGGAGTGGTTAATGGAGTTATTGTTATTTTCTAAATGGTCCCAAAATAATATGTGATGGATCTACAACTACGTCTGCAAGTATTTTGGTGGCATTTGCCCTTGTAATGATTGTTTATCAAATAGACCTTCTGATGAGATTTTATTGGTTGAAAAATATATATAGGATTCAATTCCTATAGACCCCACCAGCAATAGCTCTGTTCACTTGTCAGGGGATATTTGATAGCACAGGATAATGAACAAATAGGAAACATTTATAAATCTAACATGTTTGGCTTTTATTTAAGCTTTAGCAGAAATGAAATATGAAAGAGAAAGTTCTGTTATTTTATTCTTTTTTAAAACCTTTGGAATTTTGGTTCAAAGTCTTTTTGCAGTGAAAAACACATTAATTTGGAAATTCTTGCAAAAATCAGATTTAAATGAAACTTTCAGGAATTATTCAGAAATGAATTAAATTATTTTTGAAACATTTTGTTTTTTTAGAAAATGTAGTTAAAAATATTTTTTTTACGTCTGTTTCCTGCTCGCCACTTTTAATTTTAATTTTATGAAATTTCAAGAAATTCTTTTTTTAGTGCTTAATGTTTATATTAGTTATAAATAGAAGTTCTCCAAGAATTTAAATCATCAATTTTTTGGGTCTAACAGGACATCCAGTTAGAGAAAATATGTTCCAGAATTGTAAAATAAAAAATGCAATAAAACTAAAATATTATTTAATTAGAAAAGCTTTTAATTGCTTTTATGAATAAAATATATTATGGACATTATTTTCTTAAGAAAAATGTCTTTCCAATGAATAATGAATTTTTACAGGAATTGTTTTCATATAAGAGTGATAAGTTTAGTAAAGTTAAAATTTATTGGTAATTTTTTAACATTTTCTCGACAAGCGTCTTCGTAAGTAAGACTATAAAGCTAAAGTACCTAAATTTCAATAAAATATCAGATTGTTTAAAATTTATCTATATTCAGTGACTTCTGTCACACCCTCTAAAATAGCCATACATTGACTGAGTGAAACCAAATTTTGTGGAGAAGTGCGAACTGGTAAGGGGTTATAAAGTACAGTTGGTTCTACTAGGGTGCATAGTTTAGTACAATAAATTAATGAATTTTTTTGAAAAAATTAAAAGTTTTATTATTTAATATACATAATATTGCCTCTATTTAAAAAACAATTTAATGATTAAAATAACAAATGCTTATTTAATAAAAATTCAATATTGTTTTTTTGCATATCTTTTCTTTAAGTTTTTACATATATTTCATTCTGGTAGAATATAATGTCCAGTTGTAGCACTATAAGTAGGGAGAGAATCAAAGTGATTATTTCAACAATACTAAATACTGTGAAGATTTCAAACTTCATTAATGTGTTGCAAGAAAATTCTAGTATTTAACATTTAAAATATTACTGGATGGTTAAAAATTATTGAAAAATGCATTTATATTGTATTTGTCATGTAATCTTTCCTATTTCAGCCTTACATAAATCTGTGTGTGTGTGTGTGTGTGTGTGTGTGTGTACTCACACAAGTCTGTGTGGTTAGAATGTTAGTGTTCTAACCATGAGATCTGAGTTTAAATCCCACCATGTCCAATTTGTCAAGTAGAGGACTTGATAATACTGACCTGGAGAAATGATCTGAGCATGTGTTGCTGTTGGGTAGTCCCTGAAAACCATATCATGGGTTGACCCAAGTCTGGTGAGTGAAACTGTATAGACGAAACTGTTCAGAAGCTTTTGATGGTTGTGATAACATAAAGCTACAATATGCTAACCTTGTTCAACTATTGATTATACCAGATTTTGTGCTCCCTCCAAAACTGTAACTAAAGTCTGCTCAATATAGTTTCAGTATTAATCACAGGTTGATTCTGTAGGTGTTGAAAAAACTTAATTATGCATGAGCAAGTATCTGTCTATATTTCTGAGATGAGGTATTATGTACACTATTTACATTATTCAGACTATTGTCCTCATCTTTGTCACCATATTTATTACAACGTTTTGGCTGTTGTATGCTTCAACTTTCTTCAGGTGGTTGCAATGTCGAACTTAACCCTTAATGTAAATAGTGTGCACGAGCAAGTCTTTATAACATGGATTAGTTATTCACCCTAGTGGACTTCATAATCTCTCAAGATTAATGGATGCATTATATATATTTTATCATCTAATGTTATTATATATATATATATATATATATATATATATATATATATATATATATATATGAAGGACCTTCATAATGCAATCACAACTATGTTGGGCTGGCTATGTGGTAAGGATGAGTGATGACCACATACCAAAAGTTCTTTTTTACAGTGAACTCCATAATAGTCATAGAAATGTTCGTAGACCTTGACTCAGGTATAAAGATAAACAGCTAACAGTGTTCCTGCTGCATTTGAATACAATACATGCTCCTGTACTCTTTGTGTTCTTTTGCGAAATTCTCGAGCCGGTCTCAAAAGTCATGCCCGTCATAGGCATGCAGATAATTAGTTCATGGTCGTTGGAACCTCATATGTCAAACTTGATGGGGAGAGTACCTCATATACATATATATATATATATATATATATATATATATATATCAAATATGTGGTGCAGTTCAATTTATATTACATGAATAATTCATACAAAAAGTAGATTAGTAAAGTTAATGATATAAATGTCGAAAAACATTTTTGCAAACAAATTTATTAAAGTTATATTAACCCACGAATCTCTCGATGAATGTTATGATCCTTGTTTTTAATAACTTCAAGTTGTATAAGGTTTTTTTTTATTTTGCTAGTACTTTCAGCTGTACTTACAGCCATCCTCAGGCATGGAAATTTAGTTCATGCCAC